TGTTTTGTGACTGTGCGTTGTATCAGGTTGCGGTGATGTGAAGGAGGATGATTGTCGAGCTGCCGCAACTGACGGTAGTGAGTCACCGTCAGTATCTGGAGGTCCGGCCGGCTTTGAATTCGGATGACAGATGGTGCCACGAGTAGAAGAGTGTCCATGCGAGGGAGCATTGAAGACTCGCGAAGGGAAACTGCAATTCGTCATCGTTGTCGACGTTAGTGCAGCAGATTTTCCGACCTCCGTCACCGTTGGTTTCGCCGTTGTATCGGATGTAGTCTTTAACGGCAGACTTGAAAACCCCGGATGTTGGTGCTGCTGCTTTACGGAGCTAGTCGAGGCCCGACCGTTGGTGATGACGCGTAGTCGACAGGAGGTGGATCCGTAGTCGGAAGACCTGCAACGGAGATACGAAGACTTACAGTGTAAGCACATTTATATACATGTTAAATATAAAAATCAAATGTCAGAGTCCACCACTAGTCGTCTGCCACTTATCCACGAAAAGAGCGCCGCCTTGAGGCGGTCACAGCGGCCTACGAGCACATTGCCCGGTTCACAAAGATAACATTGCTGACGTAAGTGAACGCGGACAAAAATACACTATGCCTAAACCATCTGTTGGTGCCTTGACGTCATAGGTGTCATAGAAGCACTTATAACTCGCGACAAGAGATACCAAAATAATATGCTTGTCATGAAAACTTGTCTGTGAAACTAGACAACTACAGAGTGGGGTACGCTTGTTGTAGTCTTCGGAAACCATTCTGAATTCCGATGTAGTGCGGTGGTGACCGCCGACAACGCCCATCATAGTTGTTTTTCCAACTTTATATTCCTTTCTACGGTTTTGGAAATTCCCAACTTCCGTAGTCAGCATAAAGTGACACTTTGGCCATGCTTCCTGCACTCGGGGTTTACGCATTCGCATGCACAAGCCTTCACTTTGCTGCGATTATTGAACTTAATAGTCGGGTCCTAAAATAGGCTGTGCTGTAGATGCGCTAGACCAAAGCGAGGGTTACAATGGCTCACAGCCACGTTTATCGGGCTGTGCTAGGTCCGCTTAAGGTCAGAAATACCTCTGTACATGCGTGTTGCAAGACTTAGATATAAGCCTTCACGTGGCG